TCTCAAATGTGAACTCCATAAAAGTCAGCTGGAATTGTGTTAAAATGCAGATTCTGACTCAGTAGGTTTGGGGTGTGGCCTGAGATGCTACATTTCTGACAAGCTCCCAGGTGATGGTGATGCTGCTGGCCCATGGACCACACGGTGAGAGACTGAGTGATGTTTAGGTTTCTGTTCCTTTCTAACATGCTGTGACAGTGGAGGAAGCAGTTCTGAAGCACAGATGTTTTGTTCTGTATCCACCAAGCATCCTGCATCCCTATATCCTGTTCATCCTTATGTATTATTATACAAATAAGCAGTATTTCTGTTGGTGGTCAAAATATGTGAAAGCCAAACACCAATAACGATGCATCCTGTAACATGTGAAGGGCATGGACTCTGCAACCTGTTCACATCCCAGTTCTGTTACTACCAGCTGTGTGAGTTTAGGCAAGTTACTTAACCTCTCTGAGCCTTAATTTCTTCAACTCCACATTGAGGCTAATAAACCCTTATCACATTGGGATATGGGGAGGATTAAATGGGTTAATACAGACACAGCACTTTGTACCAGTAGGTGCCCAGCAAACGACCACTGCTGTTACCTTGGTGGACTTTGTGAGCTGATATCAGCTTGTAAAACAGTTCCCTGCTGCTCAGAGGCACCTTGATCTTTGCCCGTTGCAAGGATCATCAAACACAGAGCAGAGTCTGCCTTTGATCTGAATGTCAGGTGACATTATGACATAAGAAATTTCAGGGCACAGAGCCTTCAGGCCGATGATGTTTCTGTCTTTGCCTAGAGAATGACAGGGTCAGAGAAATGCTTTGTTTCCTCCCTTCCCTGAATTATTAGATCATCTCCTCATCTCTGTTCCCTGCCTATGTGCGGCAAATCCCTTTGTGATTTTTGGTATAAAAACAGAATATTAACTCTTAAGTTATCGGCTTCAATGCTGTTATCAGACTAACTGGTGGTACTAATTTATTCAATCAGATATTGGGTGCCCAGCTACCAGTGATACAGGGACAAACCAAAACTTCCTAATCTCTGTTATCCTCGAATTTGTCTAGGGGAGGCAGACACTGAACTAATAAAATATACAATTGCAATGGTGGAGAGTGCTATGAAGGAAAAGAACAGGGCACCATGGAAGAAAATATATATATTTTTTAAAGATTTTTTTATTGGGGAATTGGGGGATGGGAACAGTGCTGGGGAATCGGGGGAAGGGGAACAGACAAGTTGCTGTCCTTTTGTTCTTGAGTCTAGTTGTGGAGGACATTGCTTCACTGGTCCAAGTTGGCACCATCATTGCGCTCTTCCCAGGCAAGGCAGATCAGTCACCGGCTTCTGGACGGCCACTCACTGCGGCTGCTGGCCGCTCACGCTGGCTGCTGGCTATATACAGTAGCCCATGGCAACCCACTGCCACAGGGGCTGCAGCCTACGCCGTCGCCGGCGACTCACGGCAGCCCAGCTCCAGGTTGAGCTGTTGTTCAGCATCTTAGCTGTGGAGGGCAGTGTCACTGGCCCTCACATGCGGGATCCGAACCGGGGCCCTCTGGCGTCCCAAGCCAGCTCTTAACCATCGCGCCACTCGGCTGGCCCACCATGGAAGAAAATATTATTAAGAGCTTGTGACACTGTCAATTTTCATTTAAAAAGAGCCTTCTGGGGGGTGACTGGTTAGCTCAATTGGTGAGAGCGTGGTGCTGATAGTCCCAAGGATGCCAGTTTAATCCCCGCATAGGGCACTGTGAGCCGCGCCCTCCTTAAAAGCGACAACTATGCCATGAAAGCAATGTGCAACCAATGACCATGGCTGTTCTCCAATACAAAAAATAATAATAATAATAAAAAAGAGCCTTCTGATTGTCCATGTGTGGAGTGGGTTGGAGCAGGGCAAGAGGGTCAAGGACAAGCAGTTAGGAGCGCTCACAGTGGTCCAGGCCCAGGTGGTGGCAGGGGAGTTGGTGGAATCGAGGTTGGGAGCAAATTGCCTTCATTTGCCTTACTTATCATAAAATGTCGGCTTGTAGTTTTAATAGTTTTATCATTTTTCCCCTTTTACTCATTACAGAAGGCGTCATGTCATCATCACAAAAAATTCTAACCAGTTGTATGGTTTTGGGTCAGTGCTTTCCCTCTGTCTCATTCATTCATTCATTCATTCATTCATTCTTCATTCTGTAAAATAGTGGTGTGGCAGCAGGGTCTAATAATTTTCCTTGCCTTATCATTTAGGGACTCCAAGACAAATTAAAAATATTCACAAATATGAACTTGAAAGTTTCAAATTAGTAGCAGAGGCAGAACATTTAACAGTAGAGAGAGCTAGATTTCCTGTTCTTTAAGAACTCTTGACTACTTTTCTTCCAGGCCAGCACAGGTCAGTAAAATTATAATCATATTTGAAGCACAGGCTGAATGATTCAGGAAGAGTCAAGGCCGCAGGCCTCTCAAGCGAGAACTAAAATGCAACACTGGTCTCTATGCTCAGGCACCATTCCTAGCTCTAATCCGTGGGAATCTGAGAGGCAACTGGAGCTTGACTCACCTGCTGACACATGCTGGGTCACAATTACACCAAAACCACCTCATACAAAACCTGGTTGGAAGGATTTACATACCTCAACCTTTTTCAAAATAAATAGCTCCATTGTCTCACAGATATTAGTACTATAGTAAAAACATTTAGAAAATAAACCTTCAAATGTTGTAGGTTAGGAAACTTGGAACCAGAGAAGTCAACTGATCAACCTAAGGTTGCACTGCTGGCTACTTGGCAAGTGCTGAGAACCTGGTATTGTGAGGGAGCTGTATGAATCTGCTACTAAGGCAGAGACACTCAGCCATTAGTTTGAACCTGTTGGTAGGGTTTCGGGTTCTATAATACTTGATGGAGTTCTAAGATGGTTGATACCTCAGTGACCTCTCCTCTAGCATCTCGTTATTTGCACAGGACAGTTCACTGTGAGGACTCCACCATCTTGATCCTTTAAATCCTAAGGATTCAGGGAAACCAAGACCAGTTCCTCTTCACAGAAAGGTTAGGAACCCCTGATCTCAAGGTTGGTTGCTTTTTAAATAAATTTTTTTTAAATATAGAGCAATGCAAATACAAATAGAACATACCCCAGAATTAATGACTGTTAACATTTTCTTCCAAGGTATTTTAGAATGATTTTTTTTTCCCTTAGAATGGCTCAGGCATCATAAGGCTTGCTTGATTGGTCAGATTTCTATCAAATTAGAATGTAGAACTAAGGTAGGAAAGAGAAAAAAGATTCTGTTTTTTAAAAGAAATATACGTAAGTGGACCATCTGATGGGTTTGACAAATGTCTATCACTGTGTTTTAAACTACATTTGCAATGATGTAAAAAGACATTTTAACTTACATAAATCTTTTTTGCTGTTTTCACTTCTCTCAAAACAGGTAATGACCTGAGGTGGTTTGTTTTCTGGCAGAAAATGCTTAGTTTCAAAATGTCAGAGTAAAAGTTAAGTTTACAAATTTCCAGCGATAAATGAAAGGAAGCTAAATAACTCTGGAAAGTAAAAGTTCAGAGTTTTGTTGCCTAAAATTTTATTTTCATTTGTTAAGGTCTAGAACATGTTTGAATCGGGAGTCAGGAAGTCTGAATTCTGTATGCCTGCTGGCCTCTTGAATTTTCCTCTTGGGGCTAAAGAAGCTAATATTTTATGCTTTTGGAATTACTTGATTCCCCTATCTCCATCTTCATGGTCTTTTGACGATAGCTTTCCCCTTTGGTACCTTGTTGACCAATCTGGTACTGATTTCCTCCATCACATATGACAAGGATGGTTAGATAGGAACAGGAAGCGATGTTGACAAGCTTGGCTAGTTTATGCACAAAACACATTGCCCGGGAGACTTGCCTGCACTGAACAGCCACATCTGGATTGGCTCTGCTCCTGATGGTCAAAGTGCACCTCCTCCTGGACTCTGATGTCACCTCCATGGATCCTTCTAGATCAGGGGTTGGCAAACTTTTGAGACGGAAGAGCCACCAGGGGTCAGCAAATTGTGGCTTGCAAGTCACATGCGGCTCTTTGAGTACGTACATGTGGCTCTGAAGTAAAATTGAAAATGAAAATCAAACTATCATAGTTTCATTTATAAAATGTTTACATGATATTATTCACATAATGGTGATTACGTAAAAATATATTTATGGCTCTTGAATAATTTTTAAATTGTTGTGAGGTACAGGATTGGCTCTTCCAGGGGTCAGCAAACTTTTGAGACGGAATGTACCCAAAGAGCTGCATGTGGCTCGCGAGCCGCAGTTTGCCGACCCCTGTTCTAGCTACTGGCTTGAAATATGACTGACTTGATGACAAGAGCTGTCATCATTCATTTACCAAACATGTTCTAAGCACCTTCTTTTGCTCAGGGCACTTTTATTTGAGGACTATCCTAGGAGATAAGTTACTTTAGCAATTTCTTAACTGCCAGAACTCTATCCTGGCTAAAAACTCAATCCTGCATCTCACCTTAAAAAGCCAAAAACAACTCTAAAGCTATCACTCCCACTTGGTAGTACTCTAATGCCACTGGACCTCTAAGGTGAGCTGTCTTCAATCCTCGTTGACCATTCGGGGCTAATACTTTGAATCCTTTTGAAAGTTTAGGGTTGGGACTGAGGGAGTGGGTCACCCTGGCTCAAACCCAGTACCCTGGACATCAGCTGTAGCTACACCTCTTCTGATTCTGTAGAGCATGAGAAATACTCTTCTTCCATAAGCGCTGGCACTGTCAGACAGGAAGAATAGCTCTAAGGAGGAGCCCTGTAACACCAACGACAGTCCATGGTTCAGGGAAGTAATGCTGCCATTGACCCATGCTATGACCTTGGACAAATGACTGTTTCCTCCTAGTGGAAATAGTGAGAGCCCCAAACCCAAGGTAGTAGTGAAGCTTCACTGCAGGTGCACATGGTAGTTACCCAATAAATACCCACTATTCAACTCAGAAAATGAAGCACAACATTCATTCTTGGAAAATATTTATTAAAAAACTAAAGTGAATGTGGAAAAAAACAAAACAAAACAACACATACTTTTAAATAGCAAGCATATGACACTAGTTATAAAGCTTTTCCAACTCCACTGATCTAGTCTTTCCCATCATCTACAGTCAAGGAGGGCTTCCGAGGAAGCCATGTGTAAACAGGTCATCTGTATTAGTGATGAGCAAAAACTAATTATGTGAGAACTATCAATGGCAATACAACTCACTCTCCTAGGCAATCCACCCCAAATACAAGAGAGTGACGAAATCTTAGGGGCGTGCTCCTGGGGAGCTGTAGTTCTGGTTTTAATTTGGGGGTGGAGGGCTGTTGGGGGATGAAATAGTAGAAAGATAAAAGAGTATCAGTGGAGGGCAATCTTAAAGCACCTTTAACATCTGGACCCTTTCCCACAATTTAACCCAGTAATTCTCAAACTTTACTGTTGAAAAGAATCACCTGATGTGATTGTTAAATTCACAGGCTCTCCAAATCTACATGTATAAGATGGATACTCCAGGTGATTCTATGCATATTGGTTAGTCTTCCAATTTGAGAAACACTGTTTGAAACGCATTAAAACAATTCCTACCCCCTAAACCCAAGTTGAAAGTAAAGTTAGTCTGCTGACAGTCACTGTGCTTTTCTCAATTTGGGACCAATATGGGGGGCGGGGGGCAGAAAGGAGTCTCCGATTCCTAACACACTGGTCTACAGGAGCCCTGAGCAACCTGCCAAGTGCTGTTCAGGAAGTAAAATTTAATAATCATGTAGATTTTAGCTCACAGAACAGCCTCCGAACAACCAACAGGCCAACCCCATTCATTCCAGTTTAACGAACTCTGTTGGGCCGATGCCAGATGGGAAGCTGCTGTTCAGACAGAACACAGGGTAACTGGGGAACTTTAACATGTGAAGACATAGTGAATAAAACGTCTATAAAAACCTTTATTAACCATAAAGCACTAGGCCCAGCTAACTGCGGTGCATCATGGACAACATGTTGAAATAGTCACATTGATTCCAAGGTTACCATTATCCGCAAAAAGATGTGCTATGGCTGTGTCAAACACCAGGCAGTCACTGTTCATGATGGCGGCGGCCACTCCGTCGTGGATGGACCGGGGCGTGGCCTCCCACGTTAGTCTCCGCCGGTTCCCGTTCAGCTCCAGTCTGTAGGCAAAGTTCTCAGCCTGCTTGCGGGTGCCGATGAGCAGAACGATGGCGAAGAACTGTTGGTGGCCTTCGTACTTCTCCTGTTTCTCCAGCACCAGCATGAAGTGGTGGCCGAAACACGACTGCATCATGACCCAGTCCACGGCCCCTGGCAGGTTAATGTCTGTAGCTAGAAAGACGATGTCTTCTCCCTGAAGGGTGGTGATGCTCTTGTGGGCGTGCATGAGATGGGACATCACAGCTTCCAGGGACCCCTGCCACTTGCAGGAGGCACCAGGACACGGGCAGGAGTAGGGACGGTATTCACAGATGTCTTCGTGTTCTGGCTTCTCCGTGTGGTGCAAGGTCAGCGAACAGCCCGTGGTGGCATACTGCAAGGACGGAAACAACCATGTGAGCCATCAGGGCTTCTCAAAACTTCTAGTGCTGTAAACCTCTAAGAGTGCCGACCTACTCAGGTTTCCAGGGCTTAAACTGTACCATGTTTCCCCGAAAATAAGACCGGGTCTTATATTAATTTTTGCTCCAACAATCTACATTTATTCATGTACAAAAATCTACACTTATTCAAACAGTCATGTCTGGCCGACGATCTTAACTGGGGCTTATGTTTGGGGTAGGGCTTATATTACAAGCATCCTGAGAAATCATGCTAGGGCTTATTTTCCAGTTAGGTCTTATTTTAGGGGAAATACAGTATTCTTAGGTCAACCATTTTTGCTCGAGATGAATTAAACTCCGAGACTAAGAGTCACAGCTCCTGTCTGCCATCAGTATTGCCATGCGTAAAATCAGGAGCGTATCCTGCACCAGGAACATGCTCCTCCCCATTCCATCATCAAAAACTTGAGAACGAAAGTGCTCTTATTATGAACATCTCAAACAAAAGTGGTGAGCCAGTCCTGTGAAACCTGGCCTTTCCTCCTCATGTTCAGTGAATTTAAAGAATTTTTGTTCTTAAAGAATTTAAAATTGCTTAGGGGTAGAGTTGGATAAGAAAATAGATTTTCTCCAGACTAGTTTTCACCTAAAGACAGTTTTGAAAATAGTATAATTCCTCTTTTTTTTGTCCCCTCTACTTCTTCCTGGATCAAATTGGTGACTGGCAAGCAGGCTATGGGGGAGGCTGCCCGTTGGCTCCCTGTTCTTGCCTGCTGGGGTAACCAGCCCAGGGCAGAGGAGGGCCGGGGACCCCTCACATGATAGAAATGTTACTTCACCTTCTCCACCTTTGAAATCTTCCCCAGAGAAGCTCTGAACATACTCCTTGGCTCAAAGGAAATCACATCTAAGAGCTACTTAACTAACTTGGGCGACTGCTGGTCAGTTTGGTTCCAGCCAATGGAGGTTAAAATGACAAGGACCTCACCCTCCTCTCCAAGCCTGCTGGACTTTTCCCAGACCACTTCCTCAGGCCCAGCTGCAAATCTCTTCATGACCAGGTAGGTATGTCAGGTCCTCATGACAGGCCCAGGAGGAGGGGGAACTAAAGTGGTCCCTGGAGTGGGTATTCATCCTAGACGAGTTTTCTGACGTGGTCCGTCTGCCCCTAAAACACTGCCTCTAATAAGGTAGAAACAAAACCGCTTTTCTCCCTCACTCAGGAGGACATTCCTGATGGATAAATCATACCTATCACGAGAAAAGACCACACCAAAAAAGACCACTCCCAACATTCACAACAATGACACGTATTCATTCCTAACTAACAGACGGAGAGACAGCACACGGGTAGACACTCGTCCAGAGTACTATGCTGTTGGAAAGGAGAAGGATACCTGAATCACCTTTCGGGTGAAGCTAGAAGCCAGCCTCATTCCGCTTGAGCACACAGTAGCGGATAAACTGTCTGGCTTACCCTACTGGGACGCCCCAGCCCCTTTGGAGACATGAAGACACCAAATGAGGGCAGGGCCAGGCCATTTTTCTCAGATGCTGTGTCCAACCGCTAAAACAAAACAAAACAGAAGACCACAGCTGTTCTTGCTTTTCCCTACCCTGCCTTAGGCAATAACCCCCTTATAAACTTTTAAGTAGGTAAATTGTAATTTTGACAGCTGAACTTATCATTAGCAAAAAGCAGGAACTGAGCTTCTCCATACCAGACCTGCAGCTGTAGTCACTGAGGGCACGGAAGCAAAGAAGACACATCGCCCCCATTAAGGAAGAAGAGAGTGGCTTAAAGAAAGAAATGCAACTTGTTCCTTTCCCATACCTAGAGTGGAGTATAATAATCTTCAACAGAAACGGGCAGAAATATTTTACTGTTATTTACTTTGCTATAGGAATTGCTTACTCATTTTTGTTTTAAACCATGGACTAATTCTAAAAGCATGACCGCAAAAAATTCAATCAGAAGGAGAAACAAGTTTATCCATATATATATTAATACTTGGGTGTTCCTAACACGTATAAGGCCCTAATAAACAAATTTCTATTAACTGTGTTTTAAATCTGGGGTGCAGCTAGGAATAGAGAGCCTTCCTATGTTCTGTGAGTGATGGGTGAGGTGAGGCATTTCTGCCCAGAGTTTAAAACACACATACACATAATAAAAATAGCAAGAATTAACCCAGAGCCTGGCAGATTCCCTGGCTAAAACAAGCTCTTAATATTTGGATCTGAAGACGTTTCAGAATGGGCTGTTTACCATAGCTGCCCAGGAATAATTCCAGGAATGAGATGAACTTTGGCAAAGCGTGTACAGGAAAGTACCACCTGCCTCTCTTCCACAATCCAAAGCCCCAAACCACTGCTCGTTTACCAACTCAAATATATAACACATATTTATCATCTAGAAGTCATTTTAGAATTTCTTGTGTAACTCAAGTCGAAATATGTATATTCTGAATTATTTGGTTTGCTTCACAAGTCACACTCTTCCTTCAACCTAAATATAGAGAGCAGGGAGGCTCCCTAAATTACGCAAATAGAAAAGCCATTACTTAGCATTGTGTGGACAATGATCTTAGGAAAAAAGATCTTGCTCCAGCCTCCAATACCTTAAACAAATATTTTTAAAGTGTTAGGTGCTTACTCTGCTTTTTCTAAACAAGCTGAACTTTACTGCCAATCTATTCCTTCTCTTTTCCGACATGGGTGAGGGCGTGTCTTCATGACCACTGGTGCCACTTTTATGACGACTGGATTAGAGATGATCTCTAAAAAGAAAAGACCTAAACTTTAAACATGCGTGCACTCACACGCACGCAGACACATCTGCAACAGTCTCAGCATTGTTCTGGAATGACATTCCAGGGCACCACGAGTATTCTTGTTATTTACATTAAGGGTTCTCATCCAGGGATTGGAGGGAGGATTTGGGTGTCTATGAATTCCCGGACACTTGATGGAAAACTGTCTAGGTGCCCCTGAGCAGCAAACCCAAATTGCACTGGCCCGTGGCTTGTGTTTTCTGACAGCTCCAAGTATTTCTCAGGGCTGGGAACCTCTACCCTACAGCAGAGGGAATGGCTGCAGGTCCCACCCTTGTGATGTCTCCTGTTGAGTGCCATACCCTGCAATAATAAACAACTCAAACACATCAGAAATACAGATAACGGTGCAAAGGAAGACCGGGGGCGATTCTAAAACTGGGGACGGGGTGAGGAGGAGGGTGTCAGGAAAGCTCCACTATGGAGGAAGTGGACTGTGGAGGGAGCGGTTCCATCTGGTTCTAGCACAGGGTAAGTGGAGCAAACAGTAAGGATAAAACCTAAATGAGAAGGCAGGTCCAGATTCTATCAGGGACTTTATTGTCTATTTATTTTCAGAGTTTTCTACAGTGGCACTACGGACATTTTAGATCAATAATTCCTTGTGGTGGTGACTGTCCTGTGCATGTTTAGCATGCACATTTGGGCTGTTTAGCAGCACCCATGGCCTCCACCCACTAGATGCCAGTAGCAACTACCACTCCACCCCTCAGTTATGACAACCAGAATTGTCACCAGGCATGGCCAACTGTCTCCTGGGGGGGGGCCGCAGTTGAGAGCCACTGATTTCAGTGAATGACAGAGTCTGGCTGGGCAGCCACTGTCACAGCTGTGAGGAGGGGTCCACAGGGTAAGCGGGTCAGGCTGGTCAGTGCCCTGCCCCATAGGTACTGCCCAGGTCAGCTCAGGGTTGCCAGCCCCCCCTCCCTCCCCAAGGAGGTCTGGACCGCTTGCCAAATATGGAAGTAGGCTAGGGAGGGGTTCTCCCGAGTTACAGGCTGACTGACTCATCAGGGCTGTGTGGTCGTTGTGTATGTGGCCATTCCGGAGCATAGCCTCACACCCCCAAGCTCCCTCTCCCATGCTGTTTCACAGCATGGCAGCTTAGGAGTCAAACAAAGAACCAATATTTTGAGAAAAAGAAATAAATCATTTACATTTGCCTTGATCCCCAGCTCCCCACCCAACACACATGCAAACCAGAGTCCACAGATACACTGCTTGGAAGCAGGTTCTAAAATTAGCTGCTTCTTTGGTTTGCAAAGGAGAAAAACAGCCCTGAAAGTGCCTCTCCCTAAGGAATGGGGCAACACACTTCACAAATAAGTAATTAGTAATTAGGCCCTCCCCACCTTCTCGGGCATCTCCCAAGAAAGTCCTGAGGTTTCCCTTTTTGCTCTCTGGCTTGGGCTCGCCCCACCCAACTTAAGGGTTCCAGGACGCCTGCTTTCCTTCAGAGGCCTGGCTCTTAGACGCGCGCCCCTGCTGAGAAGCAGCACCTTGGTTCACGAAGGGCTGCCCCTGTGTCTGGGACGTGTCCCCAGCTACAAACTAGGGGAACTATCTGTTCATTTCCCCTAGGGGCGGGGTGTGGTGGGAATTTGCTTTAAGTAAGCCTCTTGAGGGGAGGGGGCAGGGGAGACAAGACCACACACAGAAGCCCCAAGCTAAAGAAAAATGCAGGGAGAGGGAAGATGGCCCAGCAGAAGGCGAAACAAAGAAATGTTGAAATAACATTTCTGACTTCTCTTTAGAAACTCTGCATTGCGATGGCTCAAAAGTCTTGTGCAAATGTGTTCTGCCATGGAAGGTTCTGCTATGAAAGGCAGTGTGTGACCTAGTGCCTCATTTTTAAGTCTTTGCAGAAAGAAGTAAATAGTGCTAATTCTATTCCTGGGCATGGGGTTTGAAGGTTGTATGCAAGCTGGAATTTAGGCAGGGTTTTTCCCTTTTGGCATAGAAATCCCTTCACATACAAATATTACGAGATACATCAGAAACACAGTCAAACACTAGACACCTGTTATTTACCTAATAAACACAGTAACATTGTATTTCTTTATGGAATGCATATATAAACAGTATAATCCTTCCTAGCCAGGGTGCTCGTGAAGGTCATGGGTCTTATGACTGGTTTAGAACATGTCATATAACCT